TAATCATCCGTTGGAATGTGGCAAGCGCATTTTTCAAGCCAAACGGCATCACAGTATAACAAAATAGCCCCTGATCAGTGACGAAGGCCGTCTTCTCTTGATCTTTTTTCCACAGGGGTATCTGATGGAAGCCGGAGTAGGCATCCATAAAGCTCATCAAGGCGTGACCGGCTGTAGAATCGACCAGACTGTCGATCTTTGGAAGCGGATAACTGTCCTTAGGACACGCCTTGTTGAGGTCTGTGTAATCAACACACATGCGCCAGGTCCCATTCGGTTTCTTCACAAAGACCACATTGGCCACCCAGTCGGGGAAATTACAAGGCCGAATGAACCTGGCATCTAGCAGCTTTTTGACTTCGGCAGCTGCCGCCTGACTTCTTTCTTCGCCGTGGTTTCTTTTCTTTTTCCGGATGGGCTTCTTTTTGGGGTCCACGGCGAGTTTGTGGACGGCAAGATCCGGGCTGATGCCTGGCATCTCTTCCACTTCAAAGGCAAAAATGTCTTTGAATTCTTTCAGCAGAAGGTGCAAGCTTGCACCCAAGGTAGCATGAGAAACCGTCCCAACCTTAACAGTGCGTTCTGGACGGCTGTCGTCCAGTACGAGATCAATGCTTTCGCCAGCCGGTTGGGGACGGAGCTCATCTGACCGTTCACCGGTCAGTGATTGCTATTTTTTCTCTTTTTTCACCTCCACCAGCAGAGGAGCCTTTCTTTTCTTTCCGGCTGCTGATGGGGCAGGAGCTGGGTCGGCATCCTTGACGTTGTCAAGGTCTATTGGTTCCTGACCGCCTGGGGCCACGGTATCTCGGACGGCTGAGAGATAACATTCTCGGGCCGTCTTCTGATCCCCATTCAAGGAACCAACAGAACCGCCATCCCTCTCATACTTGATGAGCATGAGGGAAGGGATGATTATTGTCTTGGCTACGTTGAGGGTTGGCCTGCCAAGAATGATGTTATAGGCGGTCAACTCCTCAACAACCAAGAATCTGACGACAATATGTCGTCCCTGGCCTTTCTCTCCCAGCCGGATGGGTAAATCAATTCTCCCGGCTGGGTAGACCATCCCACCCCCAAAACCAACCAAGGGGTGGGTGACCGGATGCATGCTGCTGACGTTGTAATTCAGCTTTTGCAAGCACCGGAAACTGATGATGTCTGATGAGCTGTCGATGTCTATAAGGATCCGTCCAACCAGCTGATTGGAAACCTTACATTCAATGACCACCGGGTCATCATGCGGGCGGCGAACGCTGCCCCTATCCTTCTCAGTGATCAAGACGTCTGGGAAGGAGGAGTTGGCTTTCGCCTGTTCATCATCATCTTTGTCCATCTTTCGAAGATGGCTCTTGGTGCCCTGGATGGTAGGGCCACCACATGAGAACCCGCCTGCTATAGTGTAGACCGGCTCCTTATCGGTATCCGAGCTACTAGCAGGCTGGGGGGTAGTCTTGGAGGACTAACCCTTGTTTTTCTTTTTTGCCCCGGCTGGGGACTTAGAAATGTAGGACTTCAACAGCCCTTTGTCAGCCAGACGGTCCAACGCACGCTGAAGACTGAAGCAGTCGTTGGTGTCATGGCCGACCTCCTCATGGAACTGACAGAATTTATTCTTGTTCCGTGACTGGACAGAACTCTTCATAGGATTCGGCTTCTCAATGGACAGCCGGTCCTTTACCTCCATGAAGATGGAGTTGCAATCTTTATTAAACTCGTACTTGGGGACGTACGGTTTAAATTCTTTCTTTTTCTTCTGGGACGGCTGATCAGAGTCAGTAACCGCCCAGACTTCTTTTCTTTTCTTGCTCTCTTCTTTGTTTTTAGCCGGCTGAGCTGACCGGCTGTCTTTTTGTTTGTCAGACTTCTTGGAGTCCGACTGGCTACCAGGCGAGCAGAGGTCGGTAGCTTGAATGTAGCTTTCCGCCTCCCTTAGGGCCGCCTGTAGGGTGAAAGCCCCTTTTCTGACTAGGTTGAACTTAAAGGTCGACCCGTCTCTCAGACCTTTAAAAAAGTCTGTAAAAGCTACCTCATCAGACAGTCCCTGAATCTGAATTCTGATCAGGTTGAACCGCCTGACATATGAGCGCAGCCCTTCTCTCTCTCCCTGCTTAACAGTGCTCAAATCAAGGCTTGTTTTCTTAGCAGGGATGTTCATTGAGAAGTTGGAAGCAAACAGGAAGGCAAGCTTCCTGAAGCTGTCTATGGACCCGGCTGGCAGGTTGCCAAACCATTGTTGGGAAATGCCCTTCAATGTAGCCGGAAAGCAGCGACACCAAGTGGCATCATCCAACCCCTGCAGATACATGAGGTTGGTGTAAGCCATGAGGTGGTCTTCCGGATTGGTGGTACCATCATAGGTACCAACCAACACATTCTTAACATTGGCCGGCTGAGCCGCCTCGGTTATCTCCCGAGTGAACGCAGAAGGTTGTTCACCCAGGCGCAGCAGGCGAAGCTGCCAGTCCAATGGCTGGACATTTGGATATGCCGCCTGACCCCCAAAGAAGGTCGGCTGCATGAAGTGAGGAGGATACTTCCCGTAAGCCTGAGTAGGCACGTACGGGACGACTCCAATCATATGAGGGCCAGAATGGATGGTATTACCGCCTCTCTGGCTCTCATGCAAGGAGGGTGCACTCCCTGCAGAGACGTTGTTGAAGCTGTCTGGAAAGTTCGACGTTGAAGTCGACTCAGACAGCGATTGATTTCTCTTCCGGTTGATGATCTCCCGGGCATCGAGAGTTGATTTTTTACTTCTTACCGGCTGATGAGGCCGGCGAGAGTTATTGGGGTTCCCCCCAGGAAGGAGAATTTTCGACCAATCGATGGTCCCGGCTGCCTTCTCCTTTGGGTGAGGAGTGGGCTGCCGGTTTCTGACTGACTTCTCCTTCTCTGGAGGAGTCTTCTTCGCCGACTGACCTTTACTTGGGCCAGCCTGGCTTTTGGTGATCAACTTTGTAATTTCACCCTTGAAACTCGTCATGAACCTCATGAGTTCGTCTCGGGTGACAGGGGCCGATCCAGCTGCCACTTGGGTTGCCCCTTCCAGCTGCCCAGTAGGTCTGCTCGGACCCGCCTGGGAGGCGCCTCGCTCCAGAGTCTCTCTGGGCCGGATGCGCTTGACTCTGAGAGAGCCGTCCTCGGCTATAGAGGTTTCCACCTGAGGATCCTCCTCCTCCTCATTGTCTATAAAGACTTCTGGGTCTTCGTCCAGACGGTTAAGGGGTGGTACAGACTCTTAAACCATCTTCGAGGTACTCTCCCCACAGACGGCGCCAAATGTTTTGGGTGTTTTTGTCCCTCGGGAGAGTTACAACACGAAGACTGATCTGGGGTGAGCTGTACCTGCAAAACAAACGGAGACACCAGTTGGGTGGTGCTCCGCCTCCGACGCACAAGTTAGAAACTTGAAAGGAGAAAAAAGGTGCGGAAATTTAGGTGGGGATCTTCTTGGATTCCAAGCTCAGGATGTCTCTATCAAAAAGTAAAATGTGTAATAAATGGTAAAACGTGTCCTCAAATTGAGGGACATCTCCCTATTTATAGGGTCTTTGGGAATTGTGCCCCTGATTAGGTTACTGAACCCTAATCATTGGTGGGCTGCGCCGTTAGGCGGCATTCTCGGGATTTTGGGCCTGAAGGCAGCCTTTTCCCTTGATTTCGGGAATGACACGTGTCGAGCAGGGATTGGTCCATTTTAGACCAATCTGGGGCTGACACGCGTCACCTTCTGATTGGGCCACGTGGCAGGGTAAAATTACCCTAAACAGTTACTAGTCGACTTGAAATTAACACGACTTGTATGTTATTGACCAAACCTAAATTCAACTCAAATTGTTCCTGTCCCGATTTCAAATCGCCTTAATGCAATTTAGACCACCTTATTATTGTTGATCAAAGCATTTTGTCCAGGGAGACCAAGTCGGTCCACGCCAGCAAAAGAAAAGGAGCATCATCCTCAAATTTAAGAGCTAAATATAGTATATATTTGTTGTATGGTCAAAGGAGATAATTATCTTCCTAAATTATAGACTATAGTTCCCTAGTATATTGCCATATATATATTATAGTCAAAGGAAATAATTAGCTTGATAAAAATGATGATTATCTATTTATAGTTAGTTGAACCCGAATATGACCTGACTTGGAAATGACTCGACCTGATTGTAATCTGGAAATTATTGACTTGAACATAGCCCGACTTGAACCCGAGAATGACCCGACTTGAAAATGATCCAACCTGATTATAACCCACAAATTATTAACTTGAACCGAACCCGAATTGAAATCGAGAATGACCCGACCTGATTATAATCCACAAATTATTGACTTGAACCAAACCCGAGAATGACCCGGCCTGATTTTAAATCACAAATTATTGACTTGAACTAAACCCGACTCGAACCCGAGAATTACCCTAACCCGTGAAAACCCGAATTAAACCCGACCTATTGTTCACCCGACCCGAATGTAACCCGACCCAAACCCGATAAGAAGCCTGACCTGACGTGACCCGACTTAAGTATGACCCAACCCAAACCCGACCCGCATAGGTTATGGAATTAATCTGAATTGACCCTATCCAAGTTGACCCGACCCACTCTTACCCAACTCAAACCCGACTCGTTTACCCGAATTGACAGCAGGCACAATTGCTTCAAGGTAGAATTTGAACAAGTTGAATATCAATAACTAGCTAGCCATTGGTAAAAACCCATTTAAATTTCACCTGAGATTTTGTTAGAATGTATTTTAATTTGTAATTTCATTTAGGGATACATAATCAAGTAGAGTGAGTTACAAAATAAAGCAGTTAAATTAACTCAATTTTTATAATCATAAGAAGAAAACAATAAAATTACAAATAATTTGTGATCTAACAAAGACATAATCCAAATTAAATTGTCATACATTTTTTTTTTTGGAAAGAAATTGAATTATCATACATTGAGTAAAAAAATAATGAAATTAAACAAATAATAATTACAAGATTTCATTTAAAATAATTGTGATCCTATAAACTTGAACAATGCCTGAGCCTCCTCAGCAATTCTTACATCAACTTGATTCCTTAAAAATGGTGGAAAGAACAATAGATATCCTGTACCCATTACTAGACCAAGGCTTAATGGGCCACTTAAAGCCCAATGCAACCTTAACTTATGGCCCAAATTCTTCTTCAAATAGCTCTCCAAAATAACTAAAATCCCATTTAGTCCAAAAAAGCACGTGACCTCCCACGTGGGGCTCACAAATGTTAAGTAGTAAAAGATTAGTTCATGTATTAGACCAGATACTAGAAAAACAGTCATAACCGAAGGAATTAAGACCTTTTGTTGACGTACATTATTTTTGGACAAAAATACCCTCATGGGTACATATATGGTGTGTCGTAGTACATCTGTTACCATGAGGTTCCACCTTCGACTCCAAAAATCTTGGAGTGATGTTGACAAGTAAGGCTCATCGAACGGTGGATGTAGCTCCACGTCTAAGATAGCCTTTGCTAACTTGTTGCATATTACCACAATTACATCAAGGAATAAGTACATTATGCCACAATAACTTATCCAAATAACACATGAGTGTAGTGTTCTTTTGTAGGCATAATAATATGTTGAGAGAATTGAGAAAAGCAAGGCCTCATGCCATAAAGTTAGGGGTATTACTTTCTTGGTTTTTTGTTTTTTGGATATTGAGTCTTTGATTTTCATCGGAAATATAGCAACCAATATAAACCTAACCAGAGAGGTTAATTTTATTGGTGGATCGTCTTTCTCTTTGTCAGGATTAGTGGTAGGATTATGTAAACAATAAGATAATGGGCCGAGGCCATAGGAAAACAATAACAGTTTAAAGTTTCCTACATATGTGATGAAGTATGAAATAATTCCTTTAAGGATTACGGAGGAAAAAGAGAGGGGGAAAATGGTGAATAGAAAGAAACATGGAAGGAAAAAGATAAACCTTAACTTTCCCTTTGGAATCTTGAAAGCTATGAAGTAGCAATAGCATAGAGATGCTAGTAGTATTGACCATGCCCGAAGAAATGACTTTATTTCACCCTCCATATAATCTTTGTTTGGATTATATTTGGTTGCTTGGTTTAGTTTCCACTGTTTTTTTTTTTTTTTTTTTTTGATTTTTGGTATTGATTTTAGCTTAATACTACATAACAACCCTCAAATACTCCTATAAATTTCAATTATGATATTCTAATTTTAGGGACTAATGAACTATTAGTTAATCTAGTGATGGTTCTTGTTAGAATTAATTATATGAAACCTAAACAATCACGTAAATTGGATTTTTAATTTTACACATAAGAGTTGTCTTTTTACTTGGTCATGTAAAGTGAGTGCTAGGGTAGATCACTTTATAAGCAAAGGAAACGTGTTTTCCATGCATAAACAAATGTGTGTACTAAACAAACCTCTTTGTAAAGTTAAGAGTCCAATTTTAAGACTATTAAGTGATGATTTAAGTTTTATCCTTTGAAAAATAAATTAATTCTCATTTTTTTTTTTTAATATTTTATTACAAGTTAATTAAGGATTGGCAACTACTCATTATTTACAAGATTTTTGATGGATTAATATGTTCCTTTACTCTTTTAGTGTTAGGTAATTAGAGAAAACATCTGGGGAAATTATAAAGAGCAAATTTCACTCTTAGATTAGATTATAAAAATAAACCACAAATAAATTGTAATTTCAATACCAAAAACAATTAAGCTAACATTTCTCAAAAAAAATATAATAATTAATTTAAGCTTATGGTAACATTCCTTTGAGAAATCTACAAACAGCATTGACTTCCTCAAGAGATCTAACATCAATTTTGTTCCTTACAAATTGTGGAAAGAACAACCAAAACCCAGTTACCATCACAAACCCAACAGTTAATGGACCAGCTAAGGCCCAATGTAACTCTCCAAAGCCCAATCCTCTTTTCAGCCCAATCTCAATAACCAAGCATAGCCCATGAAGCAAGAAGAAGCACGTGACTTCCCACGTGGGACTCGCACGTGTAATATAGAAGAACAATAACTCATGCATCAACCCAGACACCACAAAAGCAGCCATAGTAGCCACTACTTGGGCCCACCTCTTCCCGATATGATTTTCCCAAAATGCCCTTACTGGAAAATATACAGTGTAACGTAGTACATCTGATACCATAAGGTTCCATCTTCGACCCCAAAAATCTTGCAACGATGTCGATAAGTAAGGCTCATCGAACGGTGGAGATAGCTCCAACCCTAGGATGGACCCCACAATTTTATTACAAACACCCATAACAATCTCCAAATTTAAGTACACTATACAACAATAAACCCCTAAAAGAACATTAGGGTGCAAACTCTTGTTGTAATTACTAAAATACCCCGCGATAATAATCAATGAATAAATCAAAACCTTCAACGGCAAACTAAGTGGTAATTTTTGAGTAGGGGTAAAAGGGTCTTTTCCAATCTTCTTAATCTTGATAGGAAAAGCAGCAATTAAGATGAAATTAAAGAAAGATTTAGATGGTAAATCATGGGTTAATGGACCAAGATTAAAGGAAAATAGGATTAACTTGAAATTAGCAAGCCAAGTAATGAAAAAACCGGTTAATCCTGCTGTTGTTGGGGTAGATAAAGAATATGGGAGAATAGTAAAAACAGAGAAAACTGGTAATAAGGAAATTAATCTGATTTTACCTTTTGGAAGCTTTGAAACTATGAAATAAGTATAAATGAAAGAGATTAATACCTTAAACCATACCTTAATTAAAGCCTTAATTTCCCCGTTTTCTTGTTCTTCCATTTTTTTGAATCAAATTTGAGAAATTTTTTGACTTAAAAAATGTAGGAGTTTCAGATCTTTATTGGAATGGAATGTTTGATTAGTTCAATCTGTAAAATTATATTCTGTACAGTTGTGATATCTAATTGAATCACAATCTAGTTGACCACGTTGGTACATTATTATGTAGGACATTTTTATAACGTTAACTTTTTTTTAAAAAAAAGTGGAATAAAGTGTAGTTTGCCTTTTATAAATTTTGATTTGCCTGATTATAGGAATTAAAAGGCACCAAAAACAAAAATGTTGACCCTAAACAGAGTTTCCATGCATCATAATTTGTAATTAGTATCATTGAATTTGATCCAATTAACCCTTTATTCTAAATATTTTGGTGGCATGATTATGCATTTTTAAATCTTTGATATGTCTAATTGAAAACTCTCAAGTTGCTCTTGCAGTCTTGCTAAAGTCAGCTTGACTAAATTTTTCGCGGCCAATTTTCATAGGTTAAAGTTATTTTTTAAAGTTTTGGTTAAAGGAAATTGACAAGGGACAAAAGTAGTTGGGTTTAAATGCTATAGTCCTCTACGACCAAAAATAGTAGGGAGCAAATTTTTAAACAAACTAAAAATAAAATAAAAAAATGGACCAAATATTAAGAGACAGAAAAATAAAACTTTTCTTAAATCTTAACCTTTTACTAAATGAACAACCCTACTTGTAAGTTGTACTGAACTACTAGTTGTACTTCGTAGTTGGTTAATGGAAGCAATAAATAGAGAACCATATGTAACAATACAAGTGTAAAAGTGCTACATAATACACTCAACTAGTAAATCTTGTTGATAAATAATACTTCTTCCAATATAGTAACTACATATCTATACTAAATAATAAATCCGTCATTTAATTATCACTCTTTAATATAAGATCTAATACCAACCGTAAATAAAAATTAGAGTTCTAATTCTTTCACTTATAATATAAAAATCTTGTAATTAATTTATACTTGGTATAATAATATCCTTCAAATTCTTGGCAAATACTTTGACATCCTCAATAGACTCAGAATCAACATGGCTCCTCCAAAGTGTAGGAAAGAACAACCAATAACCCGTTATCAACACAAACCCAACTGTTAATGGGCCTGAAACGGCCCAATGAAAATTCAGCTTCCAGCCCAATTCCCTCTTAACAGCCATCTCCAAAACAACACACACCCCATGCAACAAGAAGTAGCACGTGACCTCCCAAGTGGGCCAAACCCGGGTCACATAAAAGATCATAACTTCATGGACAAGCCCAGATACAAAAAAGGTCGCCATTGTACCCATCACTTGGGCCCATTTAAGGCCCACCAAATCAACAAAAGTTGACCTAACGGGTTTATATACAGTGTGACGCAGTGTATCTGATACCATGCGGTTCCACCTCCGACCCCAAAAATCTTGAAGAGATGATGACGCGTAAGGCTCATCGGACGGCTCTTCGAGGTCTAACCCTAGGGGACCCACAATGAAAGCACAAAATGCAAAACATAGGTCAATAAAAAGAAATAATGCACATCCAAACATAACCCAACTTTTTGTAAGGTCATAAATTATTACAAAAAGGGTAAAAAAGAAAGATCTTAGCCAATTATCAGGGGGTAATATTCTAGTGTGATCACTGTGATGGGTGTAATGTAGAGGATCTTTTTCCTTAATTTTAATGGGTAATGCAGCAATTAAAATAAAATTAATTAGAGAGTTTTGGGCCGATAATGGGCCGAGATTGAAAGCAAAAAGGAGAAGCTTTGAGTTAGCAAGCCAAGTAATGAACCAACTTATTATTGTGATTGGAATTGGTCTAGAAAGAGAAAGTGGGAGAATTGTGAAGAGTGAGAAAATTGGGAGGAGTGAAAAAAACCTAATTTTGCCTTTTGGAAGCTTTGAAGGTATCAAGTAAGAGTAGCAAAGTGATGCTAAAATTATTAAGGAAGATTGGAAGAATTTTTGTGCTTCTCCCATTTTTATGGGATTTGTTTGAAGTTTGTGATGGTTTTTTTAGGTTGCCAATATATTTTGTTTTGTCTTTGTTACTATGTATTTGGTTTTATAATGTAACAAAGGATGTATGTGTCATATACTCTTAGAAAAAGTCATAGTCATAGACCTAGTAGCTTATATATAGAGGACCTCTCTAGATATATACAAGTACAACCCAACCACCATTTATATGTCATTGAAAATTCTACCTAATACTTCTTCCCATTTTTATTTAGTGTAACATTTTTTAAAATGAAAATCCTTCATTATTTTTTGACACACCTTTCTTCATCCATAGGTTCCACTCTTATTGTTAAAATGGAGTAACATTTGTTGATGTATAATTTGCATAAATTCCTAACTTTGACCATTTGAAAATTGAATTTAAATTATAATGCGTTACAACCATACAGTTACATATAAATGAGTTATTTCATAAAATTGGATGACACACTTAGAATACGTGTTATTTATCTAATTGGCTAATTTGTACTCCAAACTTACTTATAAGACTTAATTTAAATTTATTTTAGTTGTAAAATGAACCTTGGCTAATTTGTACTCTAAACTTATTTATAAGACCTAATTTAAATTAATTTTAGTTGTAAAATGAACCTCAAGTAACTTTTGTATATCCTTATTAAAACATAACTTATCTCTAACTTATCTTCTTTATGTTTATAAAATATAATATAAGGTCTTGTTTGGTTGATTAGTGAATTAAATTCTCATATAGAGTAGAAAATTGCATTTCACTAGAAGTTATTTTCCTTATGAAATTCTTAGGAACTTGAGAAATTCCTAACGAATTTTGATTGACGGAAAAGAGTTGGGTATTCATCTCTTATATTATGTGGAAAATTAAAACTCCCATAAATTTTCTCTTCTTTCATTTTATTCTTTTGTATGTCAACTAAACAAGTATCCAACTTATCAAATATTCAGATCTAATACATTTCCACTTCTCTTATTTTATAATGTCAATCAAACAAGGCATAAGAGTATGTTCTCTTCAGCTCAATTTCAGTTCAGTTCAATTTAGCTTCAATCAGTTCAGTTTAATTCAGTTCCTAATTTCCTTCGCTCATAACAATTCAATTCAGTTCAGCTCCAATCAATACAATTCAATTCAGTAAATCAGAACATACCCTAAATATATAACTCATTTTTCTCGAATTATTTAGTGAAAATAGAGTGAAGTATTATGGATTTAGCTATGGTCTTATTGTTCTTTAATGCGTTTAGTTTAGAGCTTATGTCTTCAACCAGTGACATACTGACATTTCACTTTTAATTGATTGATACAGTATTTTTTTTTACTGTTGGTTGTTTGGTAGATGAAAAGATGAGCGAGGGTAACTAATACGATGTAGACAAGTCATAAAACCCTATTCAATTTTACCACATTTTTAGCTGCCTTGTCTGATCCACTTAACAGATGTATTTATTCGTTTATAAATCACATTCAATGGAACAGAATTTAAGTACATTGATAGAATCGTTGCCTGTTTGATATTAATGCCTTTTTTTGGTGCATTTTTACTTTTAGTAAGAGTGATGGATTTGAGTTGAGCATATGCAAATTGCTTTGTTTTTTTTTCTCTAGAGATTATTGATTCATTTGAAGTTACATTTGTGCATGGTTATTGTCCTTATTGAAAGAGCAAAATCAAGATCTCGGATCGAATTGGTTGGATACGGATCATAAGATTTAAATGACCTTTCTTGTTGATTTATTGAGGATCTGATCCATTATGAAATTGTCTATCACTTTGCTCGAATTTAATTTTAAAAATATACTAATGCATAAGTTTGGCAAAATTATTGATTATGAGTTAGAAGAACTACCTATATGTTTAATTTTCTTTTATTGCATTCTCATTTTGTTCAATGAATATATGGACAATATGGTACTCAACTTTTTCATCAAGAACTTTCAAAATTGATTCACAAAATATCCACATTATCTTATGGCTTGCATTAATTTGTGTAAATAAAACCTACTATTAATGAGACGGAAAGAGTATCATATAGTCATGTAACAAACCAAAAATCGAGAAGGAAGGAGTATCAAAAATATGTATACACTCTCTTTGTTTTTTAAATGCACTGATGCACGCAAAAAGTTTTTAAATACTACCTCCGTTAACTATTATGTGCAACAAAGGGGTAATTTCATTCTCAATATGCTTTATTATACACGTTGAAAGCCAGCTTGTACAAGCACTAATTTAATCAAATAATTACAATCTCCAAAGACTTTAAAAACTTATTTATTAATTTAAGTATATTTCTTTTTTAATTTAGATCATTAGATCACAAAGCTTAGCTACTTGTATAAAACTAACATATATTCCAAATAAAAATCCTTCTAAAAAGTAAACCCATAAATTTTTAGTTATTTCATAAAAATGGAAGAAGATGAAGGCAAGAAATTCATAAAAGCATGGATAATAATCCTTGCATCACTTTGTTACTCCTATTTCATAGCCTCTAAAATTCCAAAGGGTATTCTTAGATTCATCTCTCTTTTACCAATTTTCTCTCTCTTCACTCTTCTCCCTCTTTCTCTCTCTAGACCTCTTACAAATATCCTCTTTGGGGGTTTTATCGTGTGGCTCGCAAACTTCAAACTCTTATTGTACGCCTTCAATCATGGCCCTTTATCATATGATGTTAATGATGATCAACCATCTCTTCTTAGATTCATATTTCTTGCAGCTTTTCCAATCAAGATTAAGAAAGTCAACCCCTCAACAAAAGGTCAAGAGGGTAATTTAGTAATTTCACCCAACAAAAAGGAGGTGGTATTACCCTTGAATTTTTGGTCAAAGGTTGTTATTTTTGTCATTTTAGAAGTGGTGTACTCTTACAACAAAAATATGGTGGCCTTTTGTGGTTTGATGTATTTGGCTATTGATATTGCATTTGGGGTGTGTGATTTTTTAGTAGGGTTCACACTTGGGATCGAGCTCGAACCACCGTCCAATGAGCCTTATTTATCAACATCGCTACAAGATTTTTGGGGTCGGAGATGGAACCTCAGAGTAACAGAAATACTGCATCACACTGTATATAAACCCGTTAGGTCAACGGTTGTGAAATTTGTTGGTCAAAAGTGGGCCCAAGTGACAGGTGTCATGGCTTCATTTGTTGTTTCAGGGTTGATGCATGAGTTGGTTTATTACTATACAACACGAGCGATTCCCACGTGGGAAGTCACGTGGTTCTTTGTGTTGCACGGTGTGTGTGTGGTGTTGGAGATAGGTGTGAAGAGAACTTTGGGCCTGAAGTGGAAGTTGCATTGGGCTGTTTCCGGCCCATTAACAGTTGGGTTTGTGATGGTAACGGGCTTTTGGTTGTTCTTCCCACAATTAATGAGGAATGAGGTAGATGTTAAAGCAACTCAAGACATTATTGATTTTGGCAAGTATTTGAAAGAGATGGTGATGAGAAGATGAATGAGGTAGATCTTAGGTTTATCCAAGTTCAAAGTTTCTAATTGTTTAGTTGTGATTTGATCCTATAATTCCATTTTTCATTTTTTGTTCATGATCTCATGTATACCTTTCATTCTTTTGCCCGGTACGAATAGCAATCGTTTTACATATAATTAAGATAGGATTTATCTTACAAAATATAAAGAGTAAGGCTAAATAACTAGCACATAAACCACCTAACACTCGATAAGTAATCAAGATGTCAACAATATCGCGCATTCTCTCTTATAGAGCCTAGTCATGCATTAAAGTTTCAAGGTTGATCAAAGGAGCCTTACATTGATCTCCCCTTATTACACTGGCAATTTCGCCAAATGTTAGATAATTAATCTTGCATCTTACATTACCATCAATTTCTTTTATAGTAAGCCTGGAAATATTTTGATAATATTAACAAAGACGACCAGATTTTAGAAGAATTACATCATTACTAACATCTAAAGAAAACTTTTATTAGCAACCGTAAATTATGAGACATGTCATGGTAAAACTTAATCCAGGACAATACCATTGATATCCCCTGCCTTAAAATATGCTAATAAATTAGAAGAAACGATGATTATATACACCTGATAAACAATAATGACTCCCAGCAAAAACAAAACCCAGGCCCCTAAACCGAAATTATAAAATGAGGGTCAGTGCACAGCACACATCAGTTGAATACACTGTCAATATCTAATCATTGATCCAGCCTCCAGATGAAGAATAAGGATGGTAAGGATTGGCAGGACCTGGGATGAAGCCCCCCATTGGAATGCCAGGATGTTCATGCCTCGGACCTGGATGATGGTTGTAGAATCGAGAATCAGTGGGCCTGGGGCCTATATCAGGAGGACCATGAACAAATCCAGCACCACCACCCATCATAAGGCTCGGTTCATCCAATCTAGCACTATATTTATTTATAGCTGACATATGATCCACTCTGTTATGGAAAAGAGATGGTTCTGGCATGTATGTTGGTGCTGCAAACCGTTCAGGGGTTTCACTGTGAGACTGGTTTATTCCATATCCACGAGGGTGGTGATAATTGGGAATGGGGCCTGCCTCTTCAGTCCATATCTCTCTCCTGTTGGGATAAACATCACCTTGTGGATGGTACTTTGCCACTGTGTCATGATAGTGAGGATTCCCAATTCTGTAATTTGTAGCCCCTGGGTGATCATGATCATGAACATGAACTGGGCCTCCACTCATTACATTCGAAGGGGACTCGTACATAGAAGTTGGATTCTCCACGGAAAATCGTCTCTCTTCGTGATGGATAGGCTCGAAGTTTGGAGATCCTGGATGATACCTTAAATTGTGGGGTTCCCTTCTGCCTCTTTTATCAAAAGGAGAGTGATGGGGAACTTCATGACGAGTATTATCTGGAGTAAAACGTTGACGTTTGTAGTCTTGCGAGGACTCAACAGGCCGTCCAGCTACATGCATCATTTCACGGCGCCTCTTTTTCTTTTCATTCTTCTTACTTTTACTATTCCCTGGGGTAGCCTTTACTTGTTTGTCTATACTATGATCCTTGCGAGCAGATTGCTTCTCAAGATCTTCATTTCCACCTACAGCTCTGTCCTTCGGACCTTCAGGTGG